TGTCGCCCAGAGTGTACTCCTTATGCTTCGGACCCATCAATACGATGAACCGGTGCTGAGATTTGGCCAAAATTGCGACTAATCGACGCATGTTTGACACATCCATCGACACGATTGTGCTGAACGACACGTACACCAGAGCGCCGGGGTTTGCGGCCAACTCGGGCGGCACCCGTAATGTCACGTTCCGTTCAAGTGACCGCATAAAGCCGTCAAATTGGACATAATTGCGTCCCAACGGCCGGATGTCCTGATAGTCCAACTCCCGGGGAAAGCCGTATATATTAAGATATTTGGCCCCGTTTTTCATACAATGTTCGGGCAATGGTTCGCAGCCCCGGCCGACCACCCATTGGTTAAACGCCCGCAAACCTGGTTTTCTCCTCTCACGAGTTGATTGCCTAAACTCTCGCCACAATTCCTGGTCTCCCGTAGCGGACAGTCCTATGGTTTTGTAGTCAAATATATAAACCATGATCGATTATTTATGTATTTTGTAGTCATAGCGTTACTCTCTCGCTGGTGGGCGGAGGGGGTCGGTGAAGGAGGAGGTGGATTATTTTAAAAACACTAGGTTAGCTAAATATAGTGTTATATGTAACTAATAACATGTGTTACCTAAATAATAAACTTACTAATAATATGTTACCTGATTCTCCTGGCGGTGCCCTCTCATTTTTAACCATATTAAGAGGGCCGACACTCCAGGACCAGACACAGGGCACGCCAGACAACTCCATGGCTGGCAGTGTCGCCAATTGATTCAATACGATAACATCGGGCCGAATGTCGGGCAATAGTCGGCCCAAATTGTCGTCCAAACTCTCATTGTATTCGATCCATAAATAAGGGTTTTTCTCCCGTATGAGTACTTTCTGTACGGGAGACTCACCGCTGAACAAAGTGGCGGCCAACTCTTGACGGGTCACGTACTCAGTGTTAACGGCCCGACGGAAGGGCACCTCATAGTCGGCCAACAGTACCTCTTCGATCCCGTGTGGGCTGAGTCGGCCCAACCAGTGCTCGTTAACTGTGAACAACACGCGATGGCCGGCGGCTATCATGTGTTCAGCAATACCTATACTGGCATTCATGTGACCCGCGCCTAATATCGGCACAAATAGCACTTTTAGTGTTTTTGTTGCCATTGTTTTTTTATATTAATTAAAAATATGCCCTAGGCCACTATTCTTGCTGGTTTTAATATCGCATTTATGCTAGAATATAACTGGTAAATTTTAAGCCAACCAACACACATTTAGCCCAATCACCCATTTGTACATCTGGCAAAATAGATGCATTTAAATTGAGACTTACATACATAAGTAGACTTATTAGTAGAAGCTAAATATGATGCATCAATAAATAGTTGTTGTTTTAAAATTATTACACAATTAATTGTGAACGTAATATTT